TCTATTTTTAGTCTTGATAGACTTGTTTTAAATGAAAGGTGCGCTATCCCTTTTTATGCATTAAATTCCATTTTTAGGACCCACATAGGTTTGAAGTTGCTCATAAACATGTATTAACTAAAATTCAGAAAAGGCCTTTACAATGTAATCACTTTTCATTTCAGAAGGAGTGTTGGAGTTAATGAGTTTTCTTAATCAAACTTGTCTCTCTGCTCCATTTTCCACAACAGTTGATTCAGGTTTTAAAGAATACAAGTTTTTTGTTGCTGGCAAAGTTGTCTGCAGGGATGAGAGTGGGGATGAATGGTTGCTGGATGCTTGTATTTGTGTATGTGTGAACAGCATTTTTTTCCTTAAAAAAGAAAAAGAAAAAACACTATTTATTTTTATTAAGAAAGGAAGCCTGAGAAGCATCAGAAGACTACTATGTCATGTGGCTTGTGAAATAAAGAGTGTCTTCTACTTGCTTCATATTCAGATACTTTAACGTTATATACATAACTTTGTACCAAAACGTGGGAGATTGGGGCCATTATTGGCCACTGACAAATATTCCCAAATCATTCCAAGGAATTGCTGCCTTTTTTGAAGGCCGTCTAGATGAGGCTTGCCTACTGGAAAGGGGCATTCAACAGATGTTTGAATGTTGATATAATCAGTGTGTGTTAAGCTGTCCAGGAAAATCCAGTTAGCCCTTCTCTTTTGTTTCCCAAAAGGAGGAAGGGGGAATGTCAATTTAGCAGCCTACACCACATGGTTATTTTTTTGTTTGTACATTGTGTAATTTTAAACATTTGAGTTTTAGAAAACAAAACTTTTTCTCTTGTTAAGGCCTTAAGAAGGGGTTAGTGCATCTTTCAAGGATCACTCTGCCATGGGAATAAAATAGCTGTTTCACAAACAGTTTTATATATATATATTAAAAAAAAAAAACTAAAACAAAAGGAAAAACCCACAAAAAACCTAATAAACTTCATTTTAACCTAATTTTTATCTGTGGAATTTAATGTATTTCACTTCTTTGTGAACAAGCCATTTTTCCACGGTTGCTCTTTATAATTTATACTACTAATTTTACTGTCCAGATTTAAAATGAGTCTTCCCCCATGACTTTCTGGAATGGATTAGAGAGAGACTCTTTACATTGATACCAACAAATTTCTGACTTCTTTTATCTAAAGTAGAGGTGGGGAAACTTTTGGCCCATAGAACATTCCTGTCCCATTTCCAAGTGTCCTTTTCTTAGTCGTGACTAAAGTGCAAGCCAGTATGGCATATCAATTAGAGTATTGAACTAAGGTTGGGAAGATCAGTGTTCCGATCCCTGTTCAGTCATGAATCTCATTAGATGACTTAGGGCTGTCCTTATCTCCCCATCTAATCTACCTCACGGGATTAGTGAGGAGAAGCTACGGACATTGCCTTGAGCTATGGGAGACATTGCAAAATATAAATGCATAAGCCTCCTATGCACAACTTTTTTTAAAAGTTTCCACTGATAACTGTTGTCAGTGTTCCAGGGCTATGTGATTACAAGAGGCAGGCATAGCTGAGAGAGAAATGTTAACCCTTTGCATATGTTGTGATCTCTGCGTGAAATGTCCCCACAAGTAATTTACCTTTTTTCTTGTTTTTAAAAGCTATTTGATGCCCCAGATTCTGTTACATGTTTCTGAAAATGTTATTCTTTTCTTTTTTTCTACAGAAAGTAGGCCAAGCATCACACTTGGCTTTTGAGTGGCACCCTAGGACCCCATACTTAATAAAGTAGTGCATGGGAGCAAAACAAAACTGAATTTAATTTCAGCTCATTTAATGAAAATTAGATATAATTAATACAGTTTTTCTCCAAGCGTATATTTAATAGTTCCCATTTTTAAATTGCAATTAATGTTTACAGGTTTTTTTTAAAAAAAAACCTGGAGATACGTGGGGGATTTACCTGAGGCTTTCAGGAGCCAAATAATGGGTATCTTGTACCTCTGCTCTTATCCATGCAGATCTTTATCATGTTCTTCCTTTACTTCCTTGACATATACTCTACCTTTTAGTTGCAAGTAACTGCATTTTGCCAATCTTGTACCTCTGCTCTTATCCATGCAGATCTTTATCATGTTCTTCCTTTACTTCCTTGACATATACTCTACCTTTTAGTTGCAAGTAACTGCATTTTGCCAATCTTGTACCTCTGCTCTTATCCATGCAGATCTTTATCATGTTCTTCCTTTACTTCCTTGACATATACTCTACCTTTTAGTTGCAAGTAACTGCATTTTGCCAAAGTTTCACTAAGGGCAATAAGAAAAAGACTGTATGAAAAGACAAGAGGCACTAGCTAAGTCAACATGCAATTTAGAATTGAAGGATTTTATTACATTAGGATCCTAGTGAAGTCACTGCAAATGAATGGGTTTTGGACCAATTTCTAATACAAAATATATTCATGAAAAACAAAATTTGACAAACCAGAGGCACTGGAGACTTTGAAAGAATAACATGTTTTGCAACAAGTAGCAAGTTAATAAAGTTTAATATGTAACAATTTTGACTCCAAAATACAAAGTTGCAGACATCTGTCTCCCTGCAGCAGAAAAAAAATTAATGTATTTTTCTTAAAAAGATGATTTTAAAAACATTTGTATTTTAAAATGTTTGAAGTAAAATTTAAAATTCAGCAAAAGAAAGGATTTTATTCCTATTTTTATCCCATATGTTGGTCTTAAATACCAAAGCCTATTTATATACATATTATATTTAAATTTATTATATTTAATAATAAAATTCCAGTGGAAGTTCACAATATACATATATATATTTCAGGCTTCAGTACAAGAATGTCATTTCCCAGTCACATTTATAGGTTTGGTGCCAAAATGTTTAGGCAAAGCATACTTAAAAAGGAACAGTCCCAAATGTTTGGGGGTGTGTGTTATTTTATTTTGTTTTGTTTTTGTTTAGAATCTGAATAACTAGGTAAGAGCTCTACTGATTATGGAACAGAATATACAAATTTGGAAGAAACATTGAATCAGCTATCAGTTAAATGCTCACTCTGAAATTTTGAAAGTATGGAAAAAATATTCAAAAGAATTATCTTCAAGAGGCAACATCAACATTTAGATTGTAAACTTGACAGGGAACTGGCATTTGTTCACCATATAAACTAATGTTAGTGTACAGTACCATCTGATTAAATCAACATCATCAATGCAGAAATTTCTTGCTATTGGTTCCAGTACTATCCTCTGAACCAACAGCAAAAGCTCCATCCTCGTTTTCTCATTCCTCTGATATTTTAATAGTTTATATCTGCTTAGTCCTTTCTCCAAGCTGAAAACTCTGTCCAGCTTTCAACATCCCAAGAGGACTTGGCTTCCATTCTGGTTGCCTATCTCTGGATATACCCTGTTTAATACCCTTAAAATATGGCACCCAGTACACACCAGATGGAGCTTGATGAGTACATGATAGAAGGATGCATGATCCTTACCTCTAATTTTCAGTAAGACAAATGTGGGTTGCTGCCTTGAAAGATCAAAGCTAATATAAAATAGAACAGCAGGAGTACACTTTGAAGATCACATTGCTCTGGAATTAAAAACAATTTCACTGTTTTCCTGTTTGTTTCTGAGCACAAATCAAGTTCCTAGTTTTGTCTGACAAACCCTAAACAATTTGAAATTAGGAAATCTGAAACAATGCCTTTTTCCACATTAAATCATATAGAGAGAAGAAGCTCTACCATATGTATACTATTAAAAAGGTTTGGTAAGAGTACACGAGTTATTTTCAGTAGTAACACCCTAATGATGGAACTCTTGTAAGGGAAGCAAGATTGCCTGCTCACTTTGCTTTCAAAGGGTGGTAAAGATTGTTCTGTACTGCCAGCCTCTAGGGTGTCACTGTCTTTTTGATGCTGCTGTCCCATTTTATTGTATAGTTTTTGATTTTCTGTTGGTGTGATTTCTAAGTGTAATAAAATTGTTAAAAGATTGATCAACACAGGGTCTAGAAAAAAAGCCCTGCAGGACTCAAACGGAAGACCTCCTTCCAGGTTGACACAAAGCCATTAACAGATACTCGTGGAATATTGTCAACAAGAATAGATGATATTTTCTTAAGTATTTTGTTGCAAGCTACATCTCTTTTCCCATTTTCATTCCAAGTTCATCTATTAGCCATTTTTGTTTATTGCCCTGTGCTTAAGGTTACCTGTGACATTGTCATCAGGTCTACCTGCAGAGTTAGCAGTCCTGCCATTCAATTAGGGGTGGCTGAGGGGGCAAAATAACCAGGACCAAATGGAAATCGACATGAGTGGACTACCCAACCATTGTTTCCCCGCTGTTCTTATCTATACTGAATTATATCTCATTTTATATGTCATCTTCTCTTGTGCAGACCCTCTTGCCACAAGCAAGCTGCTATAGAAAGAGGAAAAAAAGTAAGTTTGTCCTATTAACCCTAGTCACAGGGTCGATTAGATAAAGTAAGCAACATTTTGGTCCAGAAGCCCTAGGCTTGTACTTGTACAGAATAAAAGCAGGGAAAGGTAAAATATGATATTTAAATAGTAAATATGAAACTTATTCTTTGTTAGCAAAATATTTTTAAGAAAGCAGAAGAAGGGGAAATGAGTGAATGCTGCCACCAGAAAAGACAAAGTAGAATGCTTTCTGACCTAGTTCTGAACTAGATAGCTACTGTCCTAATGGTACTTTTATTGGTAGTCACTGCCAATAAAAAAAAATTCTGCTGGGCTTGAAACAGATAATCTTGTGCTTATTAATTTATTAACATGAAGACGATAAAGGTTAGAGAAGACACTTCTTGATTATATCAGTGTAAAATGTAGAGAGTGATGACTGCATTTATACAGTTTTCTTGGCAGTATTATGGAAGTGGTTTACTCTTC